CGAATATTGACGCAAAAATATTTCGGCATCGCGCGCCCTTCCCGCGTCACGTGTAGGCATCTCGCATCTCTGATTGGTTGTTGCGTCTTAAGATGACTGAGCCGACGCGCGTTTAAACAATTTTTCTTTGTTCGATTTATCACACTTCACAGAGAATTGTCGCCAATGGCTACTTCTTTTTGTTGCAATATATAATACTTCACGGAGAATTGTCGCCTATGGCTTCTTGTTTGGGGTTTCAAATTGATACAATCACACTATCGATTTCTAGGCAAACAAAGGGATAGAAACCAATTAAAATATATATATATATATATATTTTTTTTTAGAATTCTTTTTTTTCTTTTTTTCTCCCAAATCCCTGGGAGAACCCTGAAAACCTGTAGACTTGAATCAGGACCTGAATCTGAATTTAGCCCTGCAAGGGCTAGGGACATCTGTTAAGTTCTTCGAGCTGATCGACCGTTTAAAGCTCCATGATCTGACACCTGAGTACCTGAGTGATGAAATATAATATTGCACAATCGATTTTTCATCATGTTCTGCTTATATAAACACAGCAATCAGCAAAGTACTAAAAAAAAATAAAAAATAAAAATAAAATAAGATAATCCCTACCTACCGACCCTAATTTTTTCTGGACTGAAACAGGAAACACAACATTTTTTTTCCTTGGCCTCAGTACCTTTATGTTGTCCCCCTTGGTAACTAGTGGTTGTTGTTAAGCTGAGGGAAAAAATGTTGTGTTTCCTGTTTCAGCCCTGAAAATATTAGGGCAGGTAGGAATTTTTTTTTCCTTTCTTTTTTTTAATTAGACTTTGGCAATCTCTAGTGATCCAACTTATACAGTGTAACAAAGTAAAACTTGCATGAGGACACTTCTATTTTCAATGTCCATGTAGGAAAACCAATTGTACTGCGTTGCATCTCTCTGGCGTCAGATCATGGACCTAAAAAAAGGTCGATCAGCTTGAAAAATTTTTGTCCCTTGGCTTGCAGAGGTCCCCTCCAAAAAGGCTAGCAAGACATGTGAATTGTGTTTACCAGTTCATACCCAAACACCAGAACTTGAACTTGTATTTTTGTTGAAAGTTGAAGAAGAATTGCAGAAAAAATAAGGAGGCCAAAAATCTAATCATTTTTAGGTTTGAATGTCATCAAAACCTACATACCTAAGTTTCATCCCGATCCATCCACTGCTTCTTGAGTTATGATGCTAAACAATACACACACACAAACGCTATGGAAAACATAACCTTCTTGGCGAAGGTAATAAATGCTTGACTGGATGCGTTCATTCCCCAGACACCTCTGGGACGAGGACCTGATGAAATGGCGTGTTGTTGAGAAGCTGGACCGGCAGACCGAGGTTTTCCAGTTCGTCACCAACTCCATGGCCCCCCACCCCACACGGGACTTCTGCACCCTTCGGTCATGGCGGACCGACCTGCCGCACGACGCCTGCGTACTGGTGGAAACTTCGGTGGAACACCAGGAGGCCGACATCATGGGAGGAGTACGCGGGACGGTGCTGGCATCACGATATCTCATCGAGCCGTGTGGATCCGGGAAGTCCAGACTCATACACATTGTCAGAATAGACGAAAGGTGAGCATAGCTTTCTATTCATGACAGGAGGTAGTTTCTGTGTCATGTTATAGGTGTGAACTGGTCCTATAGATTGGGAACCTGTCATGTTCAAATAAAAGAGTGGGTATTTTGTTCTCTAACTGTACCCCCAGCCACTATTATACTGTATGTGAGTAAACACTTTTGAAAAGTTCAACATTTGATACATAAATACGTACACTCATGAAAGACATGTGACATTGTGGGTTATGTTTGAATGTGCTCCAGTAAAACTAGTAAGTCAAGGCTTTCACTATTGGCTTCATCCCTTGTTAACTAATGTTCCAAATTACATGTACATGCATAGCAAGAAGGAACTGTGGGATAGTAGGGCCTTGACACAGCGAGGTGCCGACAGAAAAAAGTGGCCGGATTTTGCAGGCATTGATGCAATGTAGAACCTGGGTTTCGGTTTGGGTTAAGGTTAGGGTTAGGGTTAGGTTAGGGTTTGGGTTGAGGGTTAGGTTAGGGTTTGGGTTGAGGGTTAGGTTAGGGTTTGGGTTGAGGGTTAGGGTTAGGGTTAGGTTAGGGTTTGGGTTGAGGGTTAGGGTTTGGGCTGAGGGTTTGGGTTTGGGTTGAGGGTTAGGGTTAGATTAGAGTTAGGGTTAGATTAGGGTTAGGGTTTGGGTTGAGGGTTAGGGTTTATGTTGAGGGTTAGGGTTGAGGGTTAGGGTTAGGTTGAGGGTTGGGGTTGAGGGTTAGGCTTTATGTTGAGGGTTAGGGTTGAGGGTTAGGGTTAGGGTTAGGTTGAGGGTTTGGGTTAGGGTTAGGTTGAGGGTTGGGGTTGAGGGTTAGGGTTTATGTTGAGGGTTAGGGTTAGGGTTGAGGGTTAGGGTTAGGGTCTGATTTGAATTTGAATGTCAATCATCACCCAAGCTATCTCAATCAAATCAAATCTGGAGCTGATACTTGGTGGCAGTAGACATTTCTTTCCAGGATGTTCTGTTAAATCCTGAATTATGTAACTTAAATGAAACAATTTTCTGCACAAAGCAAAATGCAGTTGACCTGAAGTTGTTTGCAGCTGCAGAAATTATATCAGGAGTGTTTCTTATGTTGACTACAGGGGGCGCTCTCCGGAGTGGTACAACAGGGCGTACGGCCACATCTGCGCCGCTCACGTGGGACAGATACGAGACTCCTTCAAGCATTCAAACGAGGGACCAGAAACAAAAGTCTAAAGAATCAAAGGACCAGACGTATTGAGGACTAGTCCATAGAGCACGTTGGCAGAACATACTGCCTGTGTGAAACCTGTAATGTATTGTGCATCGCACTTCGGCAGAACGTCTCACATCAGGTTGTATTCGCACATTCGGTCAACATCCCGTCTATAGTTTCAAACTGTTGGGTTGGAAAAGATATCGTCTGCAACAGGCAAAATTCTGATGCAACGTTGACCAAACATCCAACGAAAACCGTGAAACATCAGAGTTTGCACAGGCGCAGTACGTTCTGCCGACATGCGAGTTTAGACAATTTTGTACACATGACTGATGAGCCTTGTACATAATGATTTCTTGGTACATGTGACAGTGCCAGATGTACTGAGGATTGACGATAAGCCATAGTGGTGAAATGCAATAATATGTAAGTAGTATCGTATATATCTGGTTCTCAGACAGTATTATATTATATGTGTACAGATATATTACTGACAATGGAGTTCAGTGGAGATTTGAAGCATATTTGTATTATGCAGTCAGGGCATACATTCCAAAAATGGACTTCTATGACTTATTCCAGAGTCTGAGACATAAGACAGGTACTCTGCACATGTAGTACAGACTTGCCTTACGTAAAGCTGACATTATTACTTAGTTAGTTAACCATAGTTGATTATTATTAACAATGCAGTATGTGTTGTCCACTACACTGCAGATGGTGTCAGAACAATGACGACTCCCAAATTTGTGTATATATTGGGTCAGAGAAGAGAGTAATATTTATATTTGAAGGAGTATTTTTTGCTTCTGATTTTTTTCTGTCTTTTTCCACTTATTTATTGTTTCTCAAATACCTCATGGCATTTTAAACCTCTGTGTACAGTATTTTATTTCCACGTATTATAAATAAGTCAAGCCTGAAAGTCAGGAGTGTAATTCATCTAACACACGATTTTGTTCTTGACGAGAATGCACATGTTATGCTAATTCTTCATTTCCCCACCTCAAGTGTAGGATGGTTTCTATCCTGTATGCTTGGGTGGCTACTTCTTACCTGTAGTACACAGAATGATGGTCTAGTGATACCGATGTACCTCTGAAGCACACGTCAGATAAGTTTCTGTAAACCTGTCAGCTGGAAGACTTTCCAAACTGTGAACAATATAAGACTGTGCTACACCGTAGTGTGCTCACCTTAGAACTGAACCATGAACTCATGCGAGCACAGAAGTTGATTTCAGAGACAGATTTATGAAGAATAATAAAAAAGCAATAGGCAAGAAGGTAAATATGTAGTATCTCTGTCTTTTCGCTATCTCACACCATAAGTTAATGGAAATAAAGAAGTATTGGCATAAAGTAGGCTGCATGATGGAATAACTTTGGTCAAAATAGGAAGACAGGACATGGACATACATGTACATGTACATGTACATAAAGGTAACAGAGAGACACAAACATGGTTTATTGGCCAAACATCACCCGTGCAATCGCAGCCTTATAGTGCTGAATTGATGCAGGGTTTACAATCAGATGATACAAATGGTAGTAATAAACATAATAATAAACAATAATACACAATGTCATGATACATATTCCACATATTTGTGGAAATGCCGCAAGAGTCTGTGCGGTTGCCATTCGGCGCCACAAGGTGACCTCAATACGGCTTTCCCCTGTGCACACATACATGCATATACAACAGACATCTTAATTCACCACATAATACTTTACAGGTAATTTATCACACAGGTACCTTCTTCAATTAGTCCTGGTATCAGAACACTTCGGCCCCAGGACAGTTCGGCCCCGACGTATTGGCCCCAGGTCCAAAAGAATTCAGTCCCATAAAAGTAAATATCCTAATACAGTAGTTACCTCCATGAAAAATGGAGGTATTGTTTTTGGCGTGTCTGTATGTATGTGTGTGTGTGTCTGTCTGTCTGTCTGTGTGTGTTTCCGCAACTTTGTAGTCAGCATAACTTCAGAACGCCTTTATGAATTGTTATGATATTTGGTATGATGGTAAGTCTTGGAAAGACAAAGGTCAAGTATGGGCCTCCTGGTGGATGACCTTGGTACTGCAGCAGAGCTTCCGGTTTTTGTATCTTTTGTCCTGAACAAGCTATGGTCTTGACTTTTTGGTGACAGATAGCTTATCCTGTCAGGAATAAGTGGCGTAAGTTTGGTCCCCCTAGCAGCTTGTTCTGGAACTGCAGATTAGTTTCTGGTAAAAACTTTCAAAGCCAATAAGTCCAGATTGGAACAACATATTTTCATCATTTTTGGTGTGTAGGTACCTGAGAGACAGTTGTACATGATTAAATGCAAATTATGCAAATGAGGACTTAATTTGCATAATTAATGAGGAAATTCTATAATTACAGTGTTTCATATAATGGTACTGCTATACATGTAATCTATTTAATCTGTGGCAGGCGGAACATCAACAGATACCAATTATGCAAATGTGACCTAATTAGCATAATTAATGTGAACATTTTGTGACTCCTTATTGGTGAATGATGGGAATTTTATACCTCGTGACATGTATAAGTTACTTAAAGGTTAGCACCACTATGCATATATTATGTTAATGTTGAGGTTATTTGCATCATTAATGAGGACATGTTGAAATGAACTATGACAATGCAAGCCCATATTTCATGGAGGTATGAGATCTCGGAACTCTTGTTTCATTTGTAGTAATTAGTTTGCAATAGGCTATCACATTGTTGTTGGGAATAATGCAAATACCATCGATATCACACACAAAAATCCACTCGAGTGGAAGAAAACGCAAAAACTGAACGTCATAACTGGTAAAAAAATTGAACGTGTAGAATAGTTCGGCGATGGTCCAATTCGTCGAATGGTACCAGTAGCACACCGGCCCACCCGCCTATTTACCACCAATAACTTGTGATGACTTTACAGAGGTCCGAGTACGCTGCCTTGGGGTACACCTGCTGCCGTTGGCCCCCAGGATGAGGCGACGGCTCTTTGTTCCCTTGTTGTTCAAGTAGCTGTCGAACCAGAGTAGTAAGGGCCCCCCAAAACCGGAGCGGGTAAGCTTGTATATTAAGTTACCCCAGGTGCCAGATTGCAGCAAAAGCTCGTCTTACATGATGTTAGGGTCATGACGTCATCTATCGACTTGGCCCAGTCATGTACCAACCGGAGTAGGTAAAGAACTATTCCATCACCCTTCCTGAAGCCAAACTGCTTGGTGTGCAAAAGGCTGTTTTCTTAAAGACAGATGTACAGGTAGTTGTGAACGACAAAACGCAAATGTCGCATGTTTCAATCGTGGCCCTAGCATGTCCAAATCATGAGATTACCTTATAGTTTCTTCCCATCACCAAACTCTACCCACATGCCAAATGTGATAATGATTCATTATTGAATGAATGAATGAAGACTTTATTGCACATTTTTACACACTTGGCTAAGTACAGGTCACAACAAAACAAGATGAGCGGATACAATTAACGGATACAAAGGAAACTAACTAACTACCGTTATATAAATTCAACTTCTCGCTTTTTAGTTATTGTAGAAATAAAAGAACAGATATGTTTTTCGATGGATGGTTTGTATAGTTGCATTATCAATGTAATTTTTACAGTGCTTAAGTGTATGAACTAGGAAAATAGGTTTTGCACAAACCTATAGTTAATTTCTCTTTTTGAAATACAGTCCACATTCTATCATTGCCTTTTCGAGTTATGCTGTTGACACACAGACATAACACACAGACAACACACAAGCACACAGACACACACACACACACACAGACACACACACCGTCACACGTGCGCGCGCGAGTCCATGAAAGCATGAACTTGTCGAAGGTAATAAAGTTCAAATTCCAACGTCACCTCCAGTTAATGTGCCGTGATCAACGAAAAGCGTTGTAAGCCAATTTTTGGAGGCCGATTTGAGAATCAGTTTGTAAATCTACTCCTTCACACAGGCTCTCCGGTGAGCTCAAAGGCCGCATTATGTAACGTTTCTTGATTACCTTCGTCAGAAGGTAATGTGTTAACGTACACCATACATAGGGGTTGCTGATTTTGTAATCGGTTATAACTTGGGGTGTGGCGCATGTATCTTTATGATATTTGGTAGGTAGGAGGAGATTGGGAAAAAGGAAGGTCAAGGTCAATTTTAGGTACTGCAGCGGAGTACATAGGTATGATATCTCATGCTGTGGACATACTATGGTCTTGATTTTTGAGTGGGACATAGATGCTCGGGCAGTAAGTATCTGGTGTGGTTTTCAGCGAAATAGCTGCTTTTTACCTTCGCCAAGAAGGTTATGTTTTCAGTAGCGTTTGTCTGTGTGTGGGTATGTGTGTTTGTGTGTGTGTGGTTTAGCAAGATAACTCGAGAAGCAGTAAATGGATTGGAATGAAACTTGGTAGGTGGGTAGGTCTTCATGAGACCTAGAAATGATTAGATTTTGGGCCCCCTGGCGGCTTTCCTAGGTACTGCAGCTGAACTTCCGGTTTTGATATCTCATGTTCTGGACATGCTAGGGTCACGAATTTTGGTTGGTAGATAGCTCTTGTGGTAGGGAAGAAGTGACGTGAGTTTGGGCCCCCTAGCGCCTTGTTCTGGAACTGCAGGAGCATTTGTTGAAAAAAAATTGAAGGACGATAACTCAAGAACCGGTTGACGTATTGTCGTGATTTTTGGTATGTAAGTAGTATAAGTGATGCTTGACATGATCAGATGGCAATTATGCAAATCAGGCGCTAATTTGCATAATTAATGAGGAAATTCTATAACTCTGCTTTGTTCGATAATAGAACTATGAAACACTTGTGACATCTGAGGATATATATTATGTAAATGAGGACCTAATTTGCATAATTAATGGAAAATTCTTATAATTTCATAGTTGTAACTGCTGCACCCCGAATTTCATACTTGCCACATTTGGAAGTTAAGTGAAGGTGAACATCAACAAACATAATTTATTCAAATCATGACCTCATTTGCATAATTTATGAGGAAGTGCTAAAATAGCCTTTTTGTTATGATAAGGCTGTCATTGGATGAAGAATATGATCAACTGACATAGTCCATGCAAATGAGGCTCTTATTTACAAAATCAATGATTAAAATTGTATAATTCGTCACCCGCAAGGTTAACCTCATTTGGCGAAGGTATGAGATTGTGGAACTCTTGTTTGGACCTGATGTTGTCATTTTTATGACGGAATATGACTAGACAAGATAACTTGATGTTGTGAATGTTTTTTTACAGTTTTTGTAGATAGCTTGTAGTGTGGAAAGGGGAGGTTACGTTCGAATTTGGGGATTCTAGTGGCTTTCTAAGGTATTGCATCGGCACTTTAAGTTTGAATTTTAGCAGTGAATGTAGATCAAGGGAGTATTTGGAACAGATGTTCATAGACAGAGGGGGACAGATGTTCTCTCTCGGGACATACATGTATGTTCCCAATGCGAGCATAAACAGTAGACCATGTTTTTGTCCCACCCTAAGGACTGCAACTCTTTCCAGTAGCATGCAAGTCAATGAGATCACCAACATGAAAACTCCACTGAGCACTCCAAACCCGAAAATATACACCCAGTAGTGACGACAATAACAAGCATCGTGACTATGTTGGAAAATTTCCGTACTCATGTAACGTGTGTTTCTGTACTACGACTTATGTATCACACATCCTTTGGTTTACATACCAGCATAATAAAAGTCAAACTATATACAGCAGCACATCTCTGACAACCTAAACTCAAACATCTGTATCAGTATAGCCGGTGTAACCGCCCTTCGACGTAACACAACTTACATGACGAAGGTATGAAATCATCGACCTCTTGTTTAGAGCAAGGACATTATACACCGTATGAATCTGTGTATAATGTCCTGTTTAGAGGTAACGCTTCCACGTTGTCTATTGAGAAAGACTACTGTACGTCATTCAGTCTCGTAACCGTGATCCGTAGGGGCAGTACGTCTGTCCACTGTGCTGTACGTACTGTAGTTATTGCCTAACTACTAACTAACCCATGGCTAACCCTAACCCGTAAACCCTAACCCCACCGCCTTCCGGGCCAGCTGACCCGCACAGCAACAGGTAGGCGTCCCATAGCAACGCCGCCATTGAGTGTCAACCAATAAGAAGCTCGTATTTCCAGCTGCACAACGAGCTAAACAAATCCGGCCGGTACACCTGAGCATTATATACATAGTGTACAAAGTTGCCGTACGTCTGGTTTTAACAGCCAGCCGCTCAGCATCTCAGCGACATACACGGCTGAGTAACTTGTGAGAATCTGTGGGTAGACAGTCTCTTAGTTCTTGTAAGGAAACCGTAGTGCTAAAGACTTGTACAGGACTGCTCTGGGTCTGAGCTGCTCTAGAACATGGCTGCCACCACAGAGATCCTGCACGCATGGCGCGACCTCAACCAACCTACAGAATGGACCCGGGAAGGAGAACAGGTCAGTCTCTGTCCTATTGTTACGTCAAAATCTTCCCATTCACACGTCACTTGGCGACGACATTTATGATTCTTATGATCGGCAGTCCAGTCAGCACATTGTCACCACCCTGCCGGCACGGAATGTAACATTCATTTTTGTCCTGAATCGCAGTGAGTCCACTGACTTGCTCTCAAACCTAAAATTTCCGCCTGTTTGAAAAATATGTTGATATGATAAATTAGCAACACACACGGTCTTTATTTTGCGTCATCTGTAGTACAATTGTGTATCTACATTATTTCTTGACAATTTCTCTTGTTTCACATCTTCAGCTTGCAGGGCAAATTGTTCTTCCGAGTTTCGCAAAGAACTTGGAAAAATACTTGCAGACTGCGTCCAGCCCGGAGGACAGAGAACGGTGTCTGCGACTTCTGGCTACCCTGAGTGTCCAGAAAGAACCGCATCCTCATCAGAGAATAGAGGAACAACCGAGACGGCCAAAATCAGCCATGCCGGCGCTAGGTAGGCCCCCGCCCTGCATGGCACCATGTTTGTGTTTTGTACAGCACCACGACAATGTTTATATAGCCGAAATAGCGGGACTGGGGAGCCACATAACGTTGACGTTACATAACATGTGCGATATTATTTGTGGGATATCGTTCATTGCAGACTCATGCCCGGGGGCTAGTTGCAGATACAAAAGGGCACGAGTTTCCTGTATAGATAATTATCAATATCCCACAGTTAGTTATGTATTACATGTAATATCCCAGGATATTACTACTGCATCCACAACATTTATAACATGGTAAGCATTCATCATTAGTATTATTTAAGGTCTTGGCGTGGTTTTCTGAGACTGAACTGCGCCAAAGAGGGTGGGGGGACTTCGGCGCACTGTTACTAAGTGTTAGTGCTAAATTACGCCAACGTATTGTTTTGTGGCACTGTTAAATAAGATGCCGCAGATCACCCCGTTTAGCTGATGGTAAAAGCCGCGCTAGGCGTGAAGAAAGTCATCGGTAACTGCAGAAAAATAGTTTGTGTTCTGTCATGTCTGTTCTCTTCTGAAACCATAGTAACTGTTGCCACGGCAGGCCCGCGTACGCCGCAGAATAATTTATAATCGTCACAAGCGTCATCCTCATAAAAAGGACTATTTGTGCTAGATAAGGGTTAATTGTTTGTGGTCAGTCATTAGTCAGGCGTGATGGATCGTTAACTCGGCATTTATTCTGACCACCTACAGGGCGAGAGAAGGAGCCGCACCCGGCTTACATCACCCACAATCAGCGGGAGTACCAGTACCGACCAGGCTCTGCCCTGGAGAACACCAGGTAACGTCAAGGGCACCAAAATCACTGCACACAAAACACACACACACACACAAAAAAAAAACGGGTACCGTCCTTTAATTCTTGAAAGTTTCCCTTGTCTTGACTTTATTTTTTATTTGTTATTTATTTCAGCTTTGTCACAGAATGGGACTGGACAGGGGAAACAGGACATATATAGCTTTTACAAAACCCCTGTCCAGAATAAAAGATACTAAATAAAAGGTAAAATAAAAATTAAAAATAATAACACAATAATAAGACAATAATGCCACTAATGGTAATAAGAAGAAGAATGAAAAAGAAAGCACTGTTCCAGAACAAAACCTTGTGGCCAAATGTCGGTTGGTTGGTTGGTTGGTTGGTTGGTTGGTCGGTCGGTTGGTTGGTTGGTTGGTTGGCTTGCTACCAATTGATGTTGGTTTGGTTTTATAACGTTAATGTTAACTGTAACTTAATGTTAATGTTTATCTAACATCGGAAAACACGGAAGGAAATACACAGAAATACACCGGAATACACGATACAGGAGGGTGAAATCTACCGAAATACCTGCTGCTTTACAGAGTTAACACACAGGTTGCTGTATTTAACCCTGTTCTTACAATGCCCAACAGTCACCAGAAATTACTGGGTGGCAGACAGTGATGTAAAAACCACAAGGAAGTGCAGTCTAATCACAGTTCGTGAGTAAAAACCGCAAGGAAGTAGCCCTGACAGGTCCATCATGAATATTTTACAGCTAACGTTATACATGTATAAAATTTACCAAGGAAGTTATATCATCATCATCATTCACTGTGTTCTGCGTCTATATGGAGACTAAAATCTCCTTGAATGTACCGTGCTGTGATACGTTTAACATCACAGCCTGCTGTATTTTGGGATAGAATCACTAGTATATGTATGACCCTCAGAACGTCTGGAAACCATTATCGTAACGTTACTATAAGTTACGTTTTAACTATTAAACCTCTCTTTCTCCGTCTCATTGGGACCCCGCCAAACAGTGTGTGTAATCCGCAATGAAAACAAACATGGCGCCCGGCCACCGCCGCCGAACGCCACTCGGTAATTTCTCGTGATCCTTGTTCCCTTGGTCACGTATACGGTAACCTTAATGCCAAAATACAGCGACCTGGGGTGTTAACTAATATCAAAGCAGAGTGTATTCCGGTAGATTTCTCCCTCCTTTATGTGTATTCATGACTGTAATGTAAAATTTCCGGTGTGTAAATTATCCGCGGACCGTTCCAACTGTTATATGCCTCAGTTTTACGTGACAGAAACCCCACCATATTATCATATGTAAGCAAGGTTATTTTTATATAACCAATGAGGTTCAACCACTGATAATTAAAAAACAAAATATCTCTCCCTTCACCAGGCCACACACCACCAAACACAGTTTCATCACACCCTACCAGCTCCCCGAAAACATCGGCAGCACAACCTACCATGACCAGTATTACAGCAAAGGCCACCACAAACGAGAACCTATTCGTGCTGGGACATCTTCAGGGAACAGAAGAAACAACCCACATCCTTTCCAGGTATGTTTTGTTGGCGGTTTATCAAGAAAATAGAACCTTTTCTCGCCGTGAAAGGTGGTCAGCCATTACTAAATCTAAATACTTAAAGCAACCGCCATTTTGCGCAGCCGCTGTGATGGCCGAGTGGTTAAGGCGGTTGGACTTGAAATCCAATGGGGTTTCCCG